ACAAATATTCAAACAGAAAAGCAGTCAAGCGGAGGGAGCATGGACACAAAGGTCCTCTGCTTGCGAGAGGGTAAAGAAAAGTAATAAATAACAAAGTAAAAATATTAAATAATAAAGAAATTTACGTCCTTTTTTCCCATGAATAGAGCTTTCTTTCGGTGGCATTTGATCGCCTGTGTGGTTTTTATTTTTTTGCGCTATATAAAAAAAAAAAAAAAAGACCGAAAATTTTGAGAAAAAAAAAAAAAAAAGTATTGTTGACTTTTTCCTAATAAACACATTAAGTAAAAAAAAATTTAAAAATCAAATTTCGTCACAAATTTAGGCCAAAATGTATTCTGTGACATGTCTTTGATAAAAAAAAAATCCCAATACACGTAAATGAATTGTTTTATGCAAAAGTTATAGTGTCTACAAATGGCGGTATATATAGTGGAATTTGTTTTTTATACTAGTAATGGTAGCAATCAGCAACTTATAATCAAAAAAATATATATAGTTGCGCTAAACAAAATGAATAAACTAATCAAAAAAATACTGCAGTCAAAAATTAAAATGCAATCAAACAAATGATATATAAATCAATAATATTGTGAACAATATAAAATAAAAAAATGCAGCGCTAAGTAAATAAATGATACTGGTCATAATAAACTGGAAAGTGTTAAAAACCAGAGATATAAAAACAATGCGTAATAAAATCAATATGTAGGTAATAAAACTCTATCAGATAACAACAATAAAGTGCTGAGATAATGGTGGTGATGCGTGCACATAATCTCAAAATATCAAAGTCTTGTGGCTTCCGTGGTGAGAAAGACAAACATTGCACTAACCAGATAGCGCAAAGGAAATGCGCATGGAGCAATTAAGACCAGCTCCTGGTACTCAGGGTATATGATACTGGAAGGAAGTGGTGTCATCTATGTAGTAGCCACTAGGTGTCCTCCATCTGAGAGAAAAGCATCCAGGATCCAGGAATGTCAGCCACAGCCACCAGGGGGGGGTTTTTACACACAGCTCCCAGCCACAGCAAAGTACCTTCAAAACACAGGCTCCCAAGGAAATAAAGAGCCCGCAGAGAAGGCCTCCAATAGTGTGATAATGTTTTATTCAGGGGTAAAACAAATAACAAATAGAAAACCAACTTACATTAGTAGCTCAGCCGTCAGGAGACAGCTGGCTTGGTAGTACATGTACAAGAAGCAGTGAGTGAAATGGCACTTCCCTGACGCGTATCGTGTCCATACACATCATCATCAGAGGGAATCCTTTGCGCTATCTGGTTAGTGCAATGTTTGTCTTTATCACCACACGGAAGCCACAAGACTTTGATATTTTGAGATTATGTGCACGCATCACCACCATTATCTCAGCACTTTAATGCACTTTATTGTTGTTATCCGATAGAGTTTTATTACCTACATATTGATTTTATTACGCATTGTTTTTATATCTCTGGTTTTTAACACTTTCCAGTTTATTATGACCAGTATCATTTATTTACTTAGCGCTGCATTTTTTTTTTTATATTGTATACTGTGTATGGGTTCTCGAGGTACCTTTTAATGCTAGCGGCTACTACATATTCTATACCCAGCGCACGATATCTCATCTCTTTTAATAATATTGTGAAGTCCAAAAAAAGTCCAAAGTAATACGTGATGAAATAATAGTTGATCCAAATATCACCAAAAGTGCATCCACCACCGAATGAATTGAATAAACTCACCAGAGCGAGATGCTGATCATGTTATAAATCAGCATAGAACGCTTTCTGCTCTGGGAGCAATGATCAATAACTTGGGGCTGCAACACTGGGAATTTAGTAACTGGTATCCAGGGAGCAATACTCTGCAGGGAATATATATCATCCAGATCCACTTCACCCCTCAGTCACCGACTCTTTAGGATGATCAGACCTCCACTCAAAATACAAGGGAATAAAGACTCATGGTGCAGTACTTCATAAAACTTCCAATTTACTCAAAACACATTGCACTTACAAAAAGCAGTGTCTTAGCCGACGCCAGCATGAACAGCGCGTTGAATATCACAGACACGGACCCAGCCTGGCTGCGCATGCGCCGTATATCAACGACTCGGGAACGTCCTGACGTCACATCCAAAGGCTCCGCCCCATGCGTTTCGCCATCGACGTCTCTTCACATGACGTCCTCTGGTGAGTTTATTCAGTTCATTCGGTGCTGGATGCACTTTTGGTGATATTTGGATCAACTATTATTTCATGACGTATTACTTGGGACTTTTTTTGGACTTCACAATATTATTGATTTATATATCATTTGTTTGATTGCATTTTAATTTTTGACTGCAATATTTTTTTGATTAGTTTATTCATTTTGTTTATTTTTTTTTGATTTACGCACCCTATTTTTATAGGTTAGGTTTTGCCGCTATTTTTACACTGTGTTCCGTGGCGCTATATTTTAAAATCAGCAACTTATAGTGGGACTGCAGGGGGGCATTCTAACACTGAGCGATGTGGAATGGGACACTGACTAACTGTCACTGAGATCACCAGTGACACCAAAATAGCAATCAGTACTAATATAAAGCACGGACACTGTACTAATGACACTGGGCAGGAAGGGGTTAACTTCTGGGGCGATCAAAGGGTTAACTGTGTGCTGTTTCGCTGTGTGTGTGTGCTTTACACTGTAAGCACACTGCTTTGTATGGCTTTGCAATGCAGAGCCATACAAAGCAGTGTGCAGGAGCTGACAGAGGAGGGATCTGTTTGTTTACAAATAGGTCTCTACCCGGACCGTGATACACGGTGATCGCCGTGTGCCGGCGGGAAATCATTGGCCGGGACCGGGTGATTTTTTCAGCCAAGGCCGTGCACGCCCCCTACCCAGAAATGCAAAATCACGTATATAAATATACACATGTGATTTTGCGCACCCCCCTGCCACCCTGTAGAAGTATTTCTGCTATAGGCCGGTGGGAAAGCGGTTAAACACTACAGCTAAATATTTCAGGATATTTTTTTATTGGACCCTTTCCCCGGGAAAACGTTGCAAGCTGCAATTTCTACTAAACTGCTTTGTTTGAGACATGCCAACTTTGGAAAACACCGGTGCTAAAACTAATGAATGGCAACTAGTCTGCAAAGGACTTGCACCATTGGGACGGTCGGTTCTCTTGCAGTAATGGAGACAGATCTTGCTAATTGGGCCATACACATACCAATTATCTCACAAGAGATCCTAAAAGGTACAAACTAAGAAGCATTTTGTAATGTAAATAAAGTTTCATGTCTTGGCTTCTAAAACTTACCTATAAGCTCGGCAATGCCTGTATGCATATCAAAGAATGGATCGGTAACCAAAGGAGCCCGGTTCTGGCTGTAGGACTTGCTGATGGTCTCAAACAGCAGTAGGTTCTATGATCCGTCCTTGTCAGGGTATCCAGGTGGATTCCAGCTCACATCCATCACAATCTGCTCTGGGAGGAACTAAGTCCACTGCAGCTGAAACCCATTCATCCGCCCTGCCACAGAAACATAAAAGCGTCACAACAACCACAGCTGACCGGCATACTCTTGATCAAAGCTACAAGTAAAGCCGCACTTTTCCCTATGAAGAGGAAAGCAATGGGTGTGCCTTCCCAAGTAGCAGGCAATCTTTATTGCCCACTGTGTGTGTTCAGTCATCAGCTACAATGACTCTGCTCAGAGCTTACACAGGGGAGAGGACCCCCCCATCCCCCCCCCACCTGCCTGATGTGAAAACTCTGGAGAAGGATATTTACCTGGAAAGTGAAATGGATCCCCTCCAATATTATTTCCCCATTCCACAAACCAAACAAGGCTTTGCCATAGTGTGAGGATGAGAGCACCTTAACACAGCGTTCCCACTCCAGACTGGACGGGACCATGTTGTAGTTCTGGTTCTGCTAATGTTCTGTCCAGTTTCATTGTAATGCGCCTAAAGCAATACCTACAAATGGTTCAGTGCTGCACAGACAGCTGCACAATAAAACCGCACACACTGACTTAAAGCCGTACTAAGCCCAAAAACAAAAATGTCATATATTGCCGTGTACCGATCCTTGGATGTGATGCATGCATTATTATTTGGTGATCCTGCCAGTAAACACACCTCCTGTATTAGAGTGCCCTACTCTGGATGAAGGAGCACAGGTACACACAAGGACAGCAGCACTGTCAGTCTGGGGGGAGGGGAGTGTTACGTGTACTAGCAGATTCTGATACACTAAAAAATTGAAGCCAAACTTCAGCTCACACTGCCGCTACACAAGCAGTTACAGCAAAAAGGTTTTTTTTTTGGTGGGGGGGGAATAAAGGTATTACGTTCAAAAATAAAAGCAGAACCATTGTAATCACCTGTCAGTGGAAAATGGTTTCAACAATCTAACTGCTACACTTGCAGTAGAGCTTGTTTTCTTGAAAAATGTACTCTGAGCTGGGAGACTCCGTGTACATGACAGCTGACAGGCGGGGGAAGCATCTATGACAGCAGAAAGCGATTGGGTCTCTTCTGTCATAAAACTCTACCTGTCACATTTATTTAACCACTTGCCTACCGGACACTTTTACCCCCTTCGTGCCCAGGACAATTTTCAGCTTTCGACGCTCTCACACTTTGAATGGCAATTGCGCAGTCATGCAGCACTGTACCCATATGACATTGTTATCATTTTTTTTTACACACAGAGCTTTGTTTTGGTGGTATTTAAAAGGAAGGAAATATAGAAGGAAATGACAGGAGGACGTCATATGATGTCCTCCCACTCTAACTGCGCATGTGTGCCCCCAGGGACGTGCAGCGATCAGTGGTGCGCTGTGTCCCCGGGAAACAGCGGATGACATCAACTCTGTCATGTGATCAGCTGTGTCCAATCACAACTGATCACATGTAAACAAGGAAACGCCGGTTATCGGCATTCCTCTCCTCACACTGACAGCGCGTGAGGAGAGCCGGTAAGGGGCATTCCTCAGAGGGGACATGTACACTGATCATCAGGGCACTGATGATCAGTGTAGCCCCATCAGTGCCCATCAATGCCACTTGTCAGTGCCTACAATGCAAAACAATGCCACATATATCAGTGCCCATCTGAGCTGCCTTTCAGTGCCATATATCAGTGCTGCTTTTCAGTGCTCATCATATATGCCTGTCAATGCCCATCACTGATACCTACAAGTACCTCCTCATCAGTGCCCGTCAGTGACGCTTATCAGTGCAGCCTCATTAGCGCACAACAGTGAAGGAGAAAAAAAATTACTTATTTACAAAATTTTCTAACAGAACTAAGAAAAAAAAAAATTTTTCAAGATTTTCAGTCTTTTTTAGTGTGTTAAGCAAAAAAAACCCCCCCCCGGTGATTAAATACCACCAAAAGAAAGCTCTGTCTAAAAAAAATATACATAAATTTCATATGAGTACAGTGTTGCATGACCGCGCAATTGTCACGGTTTTAAGACCACAAATCTTTTTTTGTTTTTTTGCAAAAAAAAGCATTAAAGTTTGCATTAAAAAAAAAAAAAACCCCGTGGGTGATTTTTAAATAGCACCAAAAGAAAGAGCTCTTCGAAAAAAAAAACATATACATAAAAATTTTTTAAAATGCACGGTAGGGGGGCATCAGGAAGGGGGTGAAAAAAAAAAAAATGTTAATCAATCCCACTGGGTGTTTTATTTTTGCACCATAAAAAAAAAAAAAAGAGCAAAAAATTTGAAAAAAAAAAAACATTTTTTTCTATGTTTCTACAAAAAATTTTTCCAAACAGGTAAGTTTTCTCCTTCACTGATGTGCGTTGATGAGGATGCACTGATAGGCGACACTGAGGCTGCACTGATGAGGAGGCATCAATGAGGAGGCACTGATGATGCCGCACTGATATGCAGCAATGATGGGCACTGACAGGCGGCACTGCTGGGCACCGATTACACTGTTCAACAGGTAAAAAGTTTTGGGCATAAAATTAGCTAATCTTACATAATTTTGGGGTGCTGAAAACGAAAATGACCCTAAAAAATGTTGATTGGCTCTAGTTTCCATGATATATTCACCCATCTAATGACGTAAGCCATTCAAAATTATGATGCAACTTCAGCTGCATATTGCGCAATTGATACTGGTGACCAATAGAAAATTGCATGTATACTGAGATGATGCAATATTAGCCTTTAATTGCATCACTTCACTGCATAAAAGCTGCAGTATCTGTAGCTGATTGGAGTTCGTCTTTACATTTCGTTTTCTGCTTATATAGGCTACTCAGTAATGCCTGGAACTTGTGTGAATAAAGCAGATAATTTCTGCTATATCTGCGGTGAAATAACTTTTATCTCACAAAAAAGGAGGATAACAGGAATGATTAAGAAAGCCTACAACTTGTATTTTGGCTGCAAGATAGGAGACCAGGACAAGAGCTGGGCACCACATATATGCTGCAATTCTTGTGGGACGGCACTGGAGCAATGGTTGAATGGAAAATGTGCCAATGATTTGGAGAGAGCCAACAGATCATGTTAGTAATTGTTACTTTTGTATGGTGCCTCCAACAAAAGGGCTAAATAAGAAGAAAAAGTTATCTGTGCACTATCCAAATATTCCATCGGCAATACGTCCAGTTCCTCATGGAGAGGGGCTACCAATTCCTAAAGCACCAGAATCCTTCGTGGTTGAGTCAAGTGAGGAAGAACCTGAAGCGTGTAGTCATCAACCGTCAACCTCACATGACCCAGACTTCTTCCATCCACACCCACTGAACCACACCTCATTACACAAGTGGAATTGAGCGATCTTATCAGAGACCTGGATCTTCCGAAGAACAAGGCAGAGCTTTTGGGGTCAAGACTACAACAGTGGAATCTCCTAGCAAGTGATGTTCGTACGTCTTTCTACCGTCATCGTCAGAAAGATCTGATCCCATTCTTCGTCCAGGAAGGTGATATTGCTGTATGTAACAATGTTCATGGTTTAATCTCAGCCATCGGCGTATGCTATGATCCCGATGAGTGGAGGCTGTTCATTGATGCTTCAAAGGCGAGTCTTAAAGCTGTTTTGCTCCATAATGGCAATCAGTTGCCGTCAGTTCCAGTTGCTTACGCAGTTTCAATGAAAGAAACGTATGAAAACTTGAAAGAGCTTTTAAGGTGCATCAACTATGATGAACATCAATGGTCGATTTGTGGTGACCTGAAGGTGATTGCTATCCTACTTGGACTTCAAGGTGGATATACTAAGTACTGCTGCTTCCTCTGTGAGTGGGACAGTCGTGCGAGAGAAATGCACTATGCCAAAAGAGACTGGCCATTACGCCAGTCATTGCAGCCTGGAGAAAAAAATGTTAACTATCCAGCACTTGTAGACAGCAATAATATCTTATTACCTCCATTACACATCAAGTTGGGATTAATGAAAAACTTTGTTAAGGCAATGGACAAGAATAAAGCAGGTTTCAAGTACCTGATTAGCAAATTTCCAGCACTTAGTGCTGCAAAAATAAATGAAGGAGTCTTTGTTGGGCCACAGATTCGTAAACTTATTCATGATGATGAGTTTCTTTCTCTGTTGCGTGGAAAGGAAAAGGCTGCCTGGACAGCATTTGTATCAGTGACATCAAATTTTCTTGGAAACAATAAAACACCAGACTACAAGAAAGTGGTAGAAAAACTCATCCAGACTTACAGAAATCTGGGTTGCAACATGTCTCTAAAAATTCATTTTCTACATTCGCATCTGGATTTTTTCCCACCAAACTGTGGAGCAGTGAGTGATGAACACGGAGAGCGCTTCCATCAAGACATTGCAGCTATGGAAAGAAGATATCAAGGTAAATGGAGCCCATCAATGCTTGCTGACTATTGCTGGACAGTTGTAAGAGATAGCCCTTTCCTCGAATACAAGAGAAAAGCCAAGAGAAGCAAAACCGACACAAACTGAAGACAAAACTAGTGAGAATCCTAAGTATTAAAATGATTCAACTTAGCTTATGGCTATAATTTTTCTTGGTAATCCTATGCAATATATTATGCCATTTAGGCTTTGTTATGTAGTCAATATCACTTGCTTTATATTTGTGGAAAGACATCTATCTATCTAATTATTGTGCATTATGTAGTCATTACGCCTATAGTAGAAAATTTTCCGTTTACAGAAAAACTAGAGCCAATTGACAAATTTCATTGTTATATTTGAACTCAGAATGTGAAATTCATTAAGAAATGGATCCTTTTGTTTCCAAAACTGGCAAAAAATAAAAATTTGTTGAACAGTGTTATCAGTGCCGATCTGTTCTGTGTCATTTGCTGATTATCGGCAGTCCTTTCCTCACGTTGTGACAGTGTGAGGTACAGGACAAGGGAAGAGTGTTGTGGAGCTTTTTGTTTATGGATAGAAACACTCCAGGAACAAGTGTGAACATTGCAGCACTCTGATACAAGTTGAGGCACTCTGACATTGGTGCGGCTTGTCATGTGATTTAAAAGCTCCAAATTGCATGACAAATTGCACCCCATTGCCAGCAATGGAGCCGTTCATATTGCAGAGACTCATATTGCAGCGATTATGAAAAAGGTTCCTGAACGATTTTTGCTGATTTCATTGCGACTTGCATAGACTTCTGTTATATGAGGCTGCAAGCCGCAATGAAATCGGCGGTGCAAATCGCACTGATATGCGGCTCTGGAATGGCGCTGAAGTAGTGTGATTTCAGTGCCGCACCAGTGTGAACCGGGGCTCACTGGATGCTTGTGCAGCACTTGGACACAATTTGGACATCATTGTAAAGCAGAATTCTGGGTACAAATGACTTTTCCCTGTTCAGTGGGGCTGTGCGGGTCAGCTGAGTATGAGCTTTGTGCTCCCCCCCCCCCCCCCCCCCCCCCCCGAAAAAACAAGCAGCTGATCCATGCAGTGGGGGGGGGGGGGGGGCAAACATTTGTGAGCGCAATTCTGCTTTCATGTAGAAGTATAGGCCACATCTTTGGGGGGGTTAGAACCCTGGCACAGCTGCTGGGGGGGGTTATTGGGGGTCTTTCTGCACAGTGCCGTGTTACTATGGACAGGTGGGGGGGGGGGGGCAATTGATGGTGGAGCTGCAGCTGTCTGTCCCTCACCCCCCATCACCTATCAGCCTCTCCATACAGAATATACCCCCCAACCCCCTCCACCTTCCCTCATACCACCTCCATGCGGCCCC